TAACCAGTGTGGGTCACAGAAACTTGTTGGACCCTCACTAACCAGTGTGGGTCACAGAAACTTGTTGGACCCTCACTAACCAGTGTGGGTCACAGAAACTTGTTGGACCTTCACTAACCAGTGTGGGTCACAGAAACTTGTTGGACCCTCATTAATGAGTGTGGGTCACAGAAACTTGTTGGACCCTCACTAACCAGTGTGGGTCACAGAAACTTATTGGACCCTCACTAACCAGTGTGGGTCACAGAGACGTGCCAAACCCTCACACAGACCTGATGGTGGACTGGACCCAGCTGGTTTAACTGCTCAGGACAGTAAACCAATAGTAAAACATGTTTTTCTGTTATTCACAGTGATGAAAAAGTTGTAACATGATGTTAGCAGGTTTTATCTGTGTTGTGTGTCCGTGAGAGCACACAGACACACAACATGGCAGGGATAAAGGTTCAGTGGGTTTCATTTAAAGAGTTTCACAATCATGGTTCTGAACAAGGATTTACTAGTTTACCGGAAGCCCAGACGGTGGATGTGTCGGCTGCCCAGTCTGGACAGGCTCTTCTTGGCCGAGTCCTCTAAGTTTTTGGATCCTTCATCGTTGACCGCCATGGCCAGAATAAGCCCCGCCTTCACATGATTGACGTAGTGTGTGAGACGATGACTCTCGTTCTTACTGCTGTATGTGTCAAACCTGTGGAAACAAACAGCATAAAGTGTATCAAACTCTTTGAGCCATTCAAACAACTACAAACTGGGGGGCTACAAAAGGTGGTCTTTTCTCCACAGGATGACTGTTTGTCATCAATGTTTCCTCAGTAATAAATGAGTTGGTTGTTCAGTCCCAGGTACAGCCGTCACAATGTTACTGTCACCATGTTACTGTCACCATGGTACTGTCACAATGTTACTGTCACAATGTTACTGTCAAAATGTTACTGTCAAAATGTTACAGTCACCATGTTACTGTCACAATGTTACTGTCACCATGTTACTGTCACAATGTTACTGTCACAATGTCACTGTCACGATGTTACCGTCACCATGTTACTGTCACCATGTTACTGTCACAATGTTACTGTCACAATGTCACTG